AGTTAAACATGTGAGCAAGGTGTTGGTGAATGCAGTACAAATTCCAGTGACACCTCTTCAAGCTGTTGACTACACGTCATGTTCCTATTTTCAGTAACTATCTAGATTTATTCGATATTGCTGACCCCCACATATTACATCCCATGAATTAAAGCAGTGTCATCAACGACACCATTCTCTGTCCATTGTAAATGACCGTTATGTTCGCCGATCCCGTAGTGGCTCCTAGTAATCTACGTTCAACCTTCCTACGACAGCTTCACTCAACCGACCCAGGGATTGGAAGAATGAAATCTGTCACTGGAAGCTATGTTTACTGACCGTACATTGATAAGTAAATCAAGGAACGGGTAGCTGGTGTGCACATTAATCCTCTGTCTAAATTCATGGTTGAGATATGTATTATGGTTGCTCAGCCACGCCTACCTGGACATACTGTCCTAGATGTCAGAGGCATAGGATAGAAGAAAATTAGGAGCGACCAAACCAAGACGTGCTATTAGATTGTAAAAAGGTTAACTGCTGTACCGGTTCGTGTTGATAAATGTAAAATTGTGGTCCAGATCCGCTAGATAATTGCGGCCAATGGTTAAAAACGCTGAGTGGCATATCTTAAAATCGTTTGTAACGGGAAGATCCATTCATCCTTGATCTCTACCTAAATGCTGGATTCCCGTGTTTTATTCCTTTCTTTGTCTCATCTTATTATCATTACTACTACCTTAATTCCGAGTCATTTGATGCTTCTCTTACTAAAGAATCTCGCCTTTCTTTACCAATGTGCTGTAACAACTTAAGCCGGTGCACACTTGTTCCAGGTCCTGGGTTGGTTATGGCTGACTGATTGTGAGTTAATTATAGTTTGCTCATTGTACGAACACATTTCCTAAGATAATCCCAGTAAGATAGTAATATTCCTACACTTATTAAAAAGATATTGAACTAAATATATAAGCAGTAAAATTGCTTTCTTAAATTTATTTGGAGATCAATTGAAATTCTCTCATAGGAACCTCAGAGTACAAATGGCATGGATTAACGTTTATTTTGATTTTAATACAGAAATCAAACGCTCTACCTCAAAATTGGCACTATGTAACTAGAGATTTTATTAATGTAAAAAAAATGATAAGCTTAAACTGTAACGTTTTTTATTAGAAACTTTAATGAACCTACATCAATAATCCAGAATAGTTCTGAATGTGCTGATCAGCAGAAAAACTAAACAGCTAACTCAACTTTAGTAATACAACTGAAGAAAGAACTATTGGTACTTATCTCCATAAGATTTCAAACAGTTGAATTCTGTTAATATATCATTACAGAGTTAAAATGGTCACTCGCTTAAAGCAATCCAGATGTAAAACTTGATTATGATAAAGGGACATGTTATAAAATACAAATAAAAAGATAAATTAACATCGAAACAAAAATTTTCACTTAAAATCTGTATTATGTACTCATTCATGTTGATTAATCGGTGTTTAAATCGTATACTCAACATTTTTATTATCGATAGTTTTTTACACATTTGTTAGAAAATAACAAAACAAATAATCTTAGTGATAAAATTAGACTGATTTTATATATTGGAACACAAAGTATAATGAAATCCGAAGAAGTTTTGACGGATTCCTAAAAAACAGTATTGAGTGTAGTTTAAGTGCTTCGTTTTTTATACGTTGGACTAAAAGTCGATTAAGCTATGAATTATTACTCTCTCTATACTATTTTTTAGTTAAATTTCGCATATCTAACTTGGCAAGAATTTCCTAATCGTTTAGTTGGATTTCAAGCTCGTTCACATTATTGGAATACTACAGATAACCTATGGAAATATGATGATAATCCATCGATGAAGCATTTTTCAATAGTTTTACTAAATGGGGCATTTTATCATCGGTTAGTTTGTGTTACACTTTTTTTTATTTCTCATATAAAAAACAAATACAGTTGGAAATAAAACAAAATATTAAAAACTAACAGACACCTTAGTATTTACAGCTTACAGTGCAAATGTTCAAGTTGCGTTCTGTGAGCAAATGACGAAAGTATTTCTCAGGATGGTGTCATCAATACAACTCTGCATGTAGCAATGCTATGTAGAGCCTACAATTCCGCGCTTAGCCTCATCAATTGTCGTCTTAATTTCAAGCAAACATTGGTCATACCCGACTATTATTTTGTATCCATGTAATCAATTGGCTGGTCTCCTACACACGATCAAATCGATTCATCCATTATACAGCTGTACTGATTACTGCGTCTGTCAAATAGATGTGGAAAAAATACTGAATCTGATAACTGTTGTTTTGTACACATATTGGTCAAATTTTCTCACTGTTTCTAGGTAGTCAGTCAGCTACAACGTAGGACCAGGCACATATATGCATCGGGCCAAGTTGCCATACCTCATTAACACAAAAAGATAAACACCGGATTCATAAAAGTAGTTAATTCAGAGGTGGTAATGTATAAAAGAAAGATTGCAATAAGGATATAGTACAGGAAGAAAGAATTAGTTCATCGAAAGAAAGACACGAAGCGATTTTAATCTCTTAGTTTAAGGGAAGACCGACGCTATTGTGATCGATTCTGAGCCATGTCACCAAGAGTCTCCAACCATTGGTTACCATAGTCACGCGGACCCCAACCAAGTAGTCTGCATTTACCAACATGGCTCAGACTAGAAGTTAGTGACTCCAAGTACTGATGCCACGTTTTGGTTTGACCTCCCCTAACTTTCTTCCAACCATCTCCAACACCGATTAGCATTGCACGTCGTGGTAATCGGTGTTCAGGCATACGTAACACGTGGCCCAACCATCTCAGTCGATGAAGATTCATAACCTTATTGTTTTTAGGTATCTAATGTAACAAACCTTATTTTCTTTTGTCTACGTTTTTATAGTTATTATCATCATCTGTATCAAACATTGTTGGATCGTAAACTTCATGAGATTGTCAATGTATTTAATAACTGTGAAGATATCCTTTTTAATTGTCTTATAAGTCATGTGACTAGTTTACCACCAATTAAATTATTTAGTACAAGTCATACAGAACAAAGACTATTGTCAACGAATGGAATCTTAAATTTAACTGAATTAAATACTTACCGCGAACAGCGAAGTTTATGCATACAAGCTTTTTCACAACATTTTATAAAAGTCCCATATACTGGAAAACATTCTAATCATAACATTAATAATCAGTATACTAGTGGAAGAGATACACCCGAATTATATTTACCACTTTACGAGAATTCGTATAGGTAAGAGAAAAATAATTATTTTTTTCTTTTTCGAAGTTTGTAACTTCTTTGTTCATCTACTGAACTGATTGACTGTTTTGGGATTTCAGTTCATTGTAAGAAATATCATAGTACTCTCATTGGGTAAAATTTGATGTCATTTGTTTCAGTTCTGATTGGTTTTTACTAACCTGGATTCACGCATTAGGTAGATTATTTGACTTCATGAACAGTTTTCTCAAGTGATAAAATACATATCAATCAAATTGTATGTAAACAGAATACACCCATTAAGATATTAAATTAGTTCAGCAAAAAGTTCTCTTTTCGGCGAATTCATTTTCAAAGCTGTACAATCGCAAATATATATACTCATTTTACAGGATGATAATAATGCTGATAATAAACTTCTCTTAGACATGGTGACAGTGAGGTAAAATAAAGGTATTTAAACAAATTTTATAAAACAAGGACGGTTTAATAATCGTTTGATTGTTAATGGCTTAAGTATTCATCAAAAGATAGATAGAGAACTGATCATTGGGAAAGGATGGCTTAGCATGATAAGATAAAATGTAATCAGAATGATCGTAGAAACAGAAACTAACTAGTTGGGGGTAGAAGATTTAAGGGGAAGATGAAAAGTGAAGCAGATGGTTGTAAAGGAAGAAGAGTATGACAAAAAATTATAAGAAACTGATACCATGGTAGAAGAAGAGGTTGTACCAATCTCTTGCACACACAATTCTGGTTTTTCCAGATGTATGGCTATTGCTTTGGCAATTCAAAGAAGATGCAATCTAATTGTCCTTGGAAGACTTCTACTTACCCTGTACACGACTTTGAACTCAGAGTACGTCTCGGTTGAGTGACCTGTGTTCACAAGGTGTTCGATTATTGAACTTCTTATTGAGCCTTCCTTCTCTTTAGCCACATCGGGTAATGTTCTTGAATTCTTTCGGATAAAATACGCATCGAACGACCTATATACCTAACTCCATCTTCTTTGACTTCGCTATACCGATATTACACCACGAATAATTGTAAATGTTCAATCTGAAATGTCGTATTGTAGTATCACTGTATATGTTAAATTCATGTGTGGAGCGACAACGATCAACACTGAACAGTTTCGATAAGGAATATAGTACAAAGCTAGAGAAATTCATGTGCTGTATTTGTTAACAAAATCCTGACTACATTTTTTAGTAATCTTTTACTTAAATGACTTGTAAATGTTTTTTTTTCATTATTTGTAGCATATATCCTTCGATGTGAAATTTGAAATATTCATAATTCCTCAAGCTAAAAATTTGTGACTAGAACTTAAGGCTTTGGAAACGAATAATGTAAATAATTTAAAACAATTCTGTAGATTATGTAATAAATAATTTTTTACTGTATATTGTCCTTTTGTGCTCAACATTTTGGTAAAAGCAATCTAATGGAGTACAGATATTTTGCAAAAATATTATGCGCTAGATATGATTTCTTCTACACAGTTTCTTATCTATGACCACATTACCTTGATTGGGACATAAAGGCCACATATTCTATGAATGCATATTAATCGTTAACTTTTTCAGATAAGTGCTCATTGATTTATAAGACTTAAGTGTGAACTGAAGATACTTTTTTATTAAGGCGAAGTGAAGTTTTATACCATGTTCGAGGTGTGCAATAAAAATTTAACTATTTTGACGATTTCTAAGTCGAAAGAAACTACCCATTTGAATGAGAAACCCAATTAAATGAAATATCTTTTCTGAAAACTATATATATGTATAAAAAAATAACGAAATTCAGAATGCAAACATATGTTGCTTATATAAACAAATTGAATATACAAGCAATATAACAGACAGGAAGTGATTATTGTCAAAACAAAATGCGTAATTTGTAATGCTGACTGTACATATCAGACATAGATCATCGTTCAATAGCTTCGTCAAATACATGATCAACATCTAGATGGAAAACTTCACTGTTGAAATGCTCTTCTTTGGTAGAAACCTTTTCATTACTACGAACAGTTGAATTGGCCACAACTGATTGTACTTTTGTCTCTAGTGTATTCGTAGTATTTTCGTTGTCTGTTAGCGGTGATTGATTGGCTGCACTATTCGGGCTGTAATTTTGGTCATCACTTACAACAGTTTTATTTCCATTCAAGATTTCTTTACCAATAGTAGACCATAATATAGGTTTGGGAGCAGGAACAGGCATTGGGATCGGTTTTTGTGAACTATTGTCCCCTTCCATCTCTTCAAATTTGTCGTGGAGCCACTTTTTCGGTTTAATTTCAGAACGAGATGATCGTGGTGAAGGAGAAGTGCGGCGAGATCGACGATCACGTTGGTAACCTGAAATAAAATGTTTATAAGATGTCATAAATGTAAAAACAATGGAAATTGTAACTAATGTTAATTTTTCCTCAGTACACTAAATTTACATATTGCAAAGGCAAATATTCCAAACAACACTTAACTACAGCACCGGCGTACGAATCGTTCTATCATATTAAAAGGCATAACCAAAGTTTAGAAATCTAAATTTACCTAGCATTACCAAGTTTACCGTCATAACTTGGTGAAAAGTAGTCGATTCAAAAGGAGTAAGATAATTATTACGAAATCCCCATAACTGGAATCACAACGCTATATGTAGTAGAATTAATCAGTGAATGTCATAACTTGTGGCCTGTGTGCCCTGTTAATGTATAACGTAACGATACTGCCAATTAGAGAGCAGTGAATTATCGATCGGACCTAGGATGCATAAAACCCGTGAGAGTAGTCTAGAGTCCTTATCAGTCCTGCTTCCTGCCTAGCCCAGCCAGTTAAGTCCAGAACATCAATCTCAGCCTCTGCAATATGAATCATTTATTTCAAACATACTCAGTTTATATACCAACCAGACAGACCGCATCGTACCAATGAAATATGGAAAAAACATTTATACAAGATTTGGCCAAATGTGGCTATGAATGAGTGAGGTAGTTAATAATAGACAGGGCATAACTCAAGAATGGTAAAACGTATAATAATAGTTCATAGGTCAAAATAAGCCTCATAATAAGAGGGACATGAATATGAATAGTTTAGTTATTTAACAATTATACGATAAAAATATACGTATAGTATTGGTCCATAAATGGATCCCAAAAGCTACCATTCATTACACTTATCAGGACATAACGGGGAAGTGGGATATACTTCCGTACTTGTAACCTGTGGCAACGGCTAGGTGTTTAGATGCACAAAGGAAAAGTGTATGCTAGAAATCCTATAATTATTTTTTCAAAGTTTCAGTGATTTTCGCTAGCTCTGATTCTTCTAATTCGTATCATCTGGATATTACTGAGGCTAATAGTTCGGTGGTAGGCATGCATTTAATTTAATCGTTTATCCTTTTTTTGATGCATTATTATTATCTCATGTAATTTAAGTGAAATACAATACTCATTCTACTGCCTTATTGAATGCTCATTAAAAATATATGCATGTAAAAAAGCACTTATCGGGCGACTGTGTTTAAATGAAACTTACTAGAAGAGTATAAACGATCGGATTTATTATTCCATCGGCGCCTCGGACCATACCCATCATCTGTTCGATCATCATGCTTCATTTAAAAAAAACCGTTCAAGTTAATTGTCAATTTTGAGTTTAATTTAATGAAGATATTACATTACTATTACCAGACTACTATCTTTATTAGAAACAAATCTAAAAGGGATTCTATGACACAAAAATGATACGTAGGGAAAGCATGCACTACAGCTCATAGCTACGCTACAGAGGAGGCTATTTCGAGATGACTTTGTCTTACTTCATTGTGAACAATTTATATTTCTTCTAGAATCTAATTGCAGAAATAGTGAAAAATATCAGAGTACAACAGTCAGTCAGTTACAACGTAGGACCAGACACATATATGCATCGGTCCAAGTTGCCATACCTCATTAGCACAGCAAGATGAACACCAAATTCATAGAAGCAATTAACTCAATGGTGTAATATATAAAGGAAGGATTGCATATAACTATATGGTACAGGAAGAAAGTAGTTCGTAAAAGGAAAAATATGTAATAATTTTAGTCTCAGTTAAAGTGCATACACTTATGCCATTGTGATCGATTCTGAGCCATGTCACCAAGAGTCTCCAACCATTGGTTACCACAGTCACGCGGACCCCAACCAAGTAGTCTGCACCTACCGATATGGCTCAGACTAGAAGTTAGTGACTTCAAGCACTGATGCCACGTTTTGGTTTGGTCGCCCTCACATTTCTTCCAACCATCCCGAACACCGGTTAGCATTGCACGTCGTGGTAATCGGTGTTCAGGCATACGTAACACGTGGCCCAACTATCTCAGTCGATGAAGATCCACAACCTCATCGACTGATTTACCATCATTCCCTAATACTCTGCGTCTAACCTCACTATTACTTATCCGGTGATCCCAGCAGACGCCAGCAATATTTCTAAGACATCTGTGGTCAAATACTAGTAACTTACGCGTATCCTCTACCCTTGATGGCCACGTTTCACAGCCGTGAAGTAGAACAGAACGAACTGCTGCGCAGTATACTCGTTCCTTTATTGATAGACGGATATCTCGCCTTCGCCATAGGTGACGTAAGTTGGCAAAAGCCAAGCGAGCTTTTCGAATCCGTGCTGAGATTTCGTCAGACACCAACCCATTATGGCTGATCGGACTTCCAAGATAAGTGAAGTTGTCGACGCGTTCGAATACTTCACTCCCTATCCTTAGTTCAGGTGTTGACACAGACCAGTCCTGGAGCAACAACTTGCATTTAGAGGGAGAGAAGCGCATCCCAAATACTCTGGGATTGTTCCTCAGTGCTTCCAGAAGACTGCATTTTATCAGCCTCTTCACCACACAGGACTATGTCGTCTGCGTATTCTAAGTCGATAAGTGGACCTCCTGGAAGAATTCAGTCGACGAGAATGCTATTTCCATCAATAGGTCTATGATGAAGTTGAACAAAAATGGAGAAAGTGGACAGCCTTGACGGGCACCACTCGAGGTTGCAAAAGCCGATGACAGTTCGCCACAAGCTCTGACTCGACTAGTAGTGTTCGAGCAAAGAGCCTTCACAAGGTTTATGTACTTCTGAGGTTGTCTTAGTATATCTACCTATCCTGAAAAGAATTTTGAATTAAAAAGTATGAGGTAATACAACTAGGATAGCTGACTACTTGTTATTCATATAGGCAAAAATGAAGACTGTTATGATCTGTATGAATACAACAAATCGTTTCTTTCTACTCACACAGAACTTGATATGAAAGATACTTATTAAGTAGAAATGTTGGTAATTTCGGTTGACTAAATAAGAAATTCCCTAAAAACATAGTTTGAGTTTGCTTTCTCCGCTAATAATAACGAATAAGAAGGTTTGATCCACATAATCAAATTCCAATTTATTCAATAATTAAAGCGAATCAAAGGACAGATAAACAAATACTAGTATTTGGTTGCAGTTTTCAAACATAAAGATTATTTCACAGAAATCACGAACCGATTCAAGTGAGTCATTGAAAGCCTATGAATACTGGACGACTGTTCTCCTAGTACGGGACTCCTCAGTAATGAGCACCCACAACCGTAACTTGAACACATGACCCGTGGTCTCGCGCGGGAACGTCTAACGTTTAGACCACTAGGCCGGCAATCTATGGTGTACAACTCTGACTCCAACCTTTTCTACGGTGGTGCGCGACATCTTCAGTTGTGATTTCAATGAAACCCAACATCTCGCACAACCCATACTGATAAGGATTATTAAGAGACAACGAAAGGTCGAACAATAAATTCAGCAGAAAAATTCATCACAGCTTCTCTTTCGGGATAGGAAAATTAAACTGTTTGTTTCATTCAACTGGTTTCTAATAATTGGGTTGCTCAATTCGATTCGCTTGTCTGACAGATCGTAGAAGACTTAAGATGGTTTGTTTTGGTATATGCTGTTTGAGGGGTATCGAATGTGTAAATATGTCGCTTTATGTTTTTTTTCTTGCCATATAAGACAGTTCGCTTAAAATTTATTTACCTTCTTACGCCATCAATTCCTTAATGTGCTCGAATGTTGATTTGTTACTACCCAACTGTCTGTTTTTTTTTCTAATTACACTTTAGGAAAAACTAGGTTATCTACAGAATCAACGAATTAAAGCTGAAGACATTTTAACGTAAGGCCTAAAAATTGAAAAATATTTGATTTACAAAACAAATGATAGACAGTGAAAACTCACAAGATAATAAGAATGTCCTTTCGGAGTTTCTGAAGGATCCAACGGATAAGCTTTTGGAAAAAAATAATATTTTAATATTCGTACATATACATGTATATGCAAGATTTTGGCGGCTACTAGTGTTCACAACAATTACGCTGTGATTTGCATTTTCAAAAACAGAAAATTTATACTTGAAAATGTCTTAATTACATTTGAAGGAATGTGTAACTCATCTAACAAGTAAAGACATGTAACTGAGTTTGAGCCACACCACTTTTATCAATCATAATCAACGAGAAGTCTGGGAAATGTGTGCATTAACCTTAGTTTCCATATCAAATAAGCACGAGACGAATCGCAGATGAGTCAAAATAATGTTACTTATGTGATGCCTAATAAAATGAATTTGTTTCCGAAAAAAGGGTGAATCAGTTTGGAACCTGCAACGTGGTCGTTGGAATTGTTTAAATATCAAGCCACCGCTTTTACGGACTAAATTAAAGTTGTTCTGGAGCTTGCAAGCATACTGAGATAATAGCTTATTTAAGGGAATTTTAAATGACTAGTTCTCAACTATCTTATGGATAATTTGCTACACAAAGAAATTCAATTCCAACATTTAAGACGAGATTTGACGCGATAAACCATAATGGTTGTCAGAAGATTAATCAGGCATAGCTCCAAAGAGATCACGCCAATGACAAAAGAATATAAAACTGGAAATAATTGAATGCAACTTCATAACAAAACATTTTGTTTTCTATAAAGACATGACCTTTAATAAGATATTAAAGGAAAAAATCTTTTATAAACAGTGTTGAGCATGCAGCGATCAACAATAAGTAAATTTCACCGTTAAATTAAAAAATTGTGTTAATCACTGAGGAATATCTAGCTCACTGTACAGCAATTCTGATGCATTCGGGGAATGAATAGATCAAAATGCACAACAGGAACGTCCCGTGAGTATATATGGCAACGTTATTTTGTGCACTTAATCTCACAACCATGAACTACCATGTACTGCTTTGACTGTTGCTTGAATGTCTATCATACTGCATTAAATCTGCACAATGTATCTACTAGATTACAAGGTTACCTCATACATTAAATTTATTGATATCCCAAATTTAATTAATAAAGGGACCAAATAGTACAAAATTTCCGAGTCAACTCATTATTGCACTGCATAGTGGTCTTGGTATTCTGAATACAAAGTTCAATCAGTCAGCTACAACGTAGGACCAGGCACATATATGCATCGGTCCAAGTTGCCATACCTCATTAGCACAGCAAGATGAACACCAAATTCATAGAAGCAATTAACTCAATGGTGTAATATATAAAGGAAGGATTGCATATAACTATATGGTACAGGAAGAAAGTAGTTCGTAAAAGGAAAAATATGTAATAATTTTAGTCTCAGTTAAAGTGCATACACTTATGCCATTGTGATCGATTCTGAGCCATGTCACCAAGAGTCTCCAACCATTGGTTACCACAGTCACGCGGACCCCAACCAAGTAGTCTGCACCTACCGATATGGCTCAGACTAGAAGTTAGTGACTTCAAGCACTGATGCCACGTTTTGGTTTGGTCGCCCTCACATTTCTTCCAACCATCCCGAACACCGGTTAGCATTGCACGTCGTGGTAATCGGTGTTCAGGCATACGTAACACGTGGCCCAACTATCTCAGTCGATGAAGATCCACAACCTCATCGACTGATTTACCATCATTCCCTAATACTCTGCGTCTAACCTCACTATTACTTATCCGGTGATCCCAGCAGACGCCAGCAATATTTCTAAGACATCTGTGGTCAAATACTAGTAACTTACGCGTATCCTCTACCCTTGATGGCCACGTTTCACAGCCGTGAAGTAGAACAGAACGAACTGCTGCGCAGTATACTCGTTCCTTTATTGATAGACGGATATCTCGCCTTCGCCATAGGTGACGTAAGTTGGCAAAAGCCAAGCGAGCTTTTCGAATCCGTGCTGAGATTTCGTCAGACACCAACCCATTATGGCTGATCGGACTTCCAAGATAAGTGAAGTTGTCGACGCGTTCGAATACTTCACTCCCTATCCTTAGTTCAGGTGTTGACACAGACCAGTCCTGGAGCAACAACTTGCATTTAGAGGGAGAGAAGCGCATCCCAAATACTCTGGGATTGTTCCTCAGTGCTTCCAGAAGACTGCATTTTATCAGCCTCTTCACCACACAGGACTATGTCGTCTGCGTATTCTAAGTCGATAAGTGGACCTCCTGGAAGAATTCAGTCGACGAGAATGCTATTTCCATCAATAGGTCTATGATGAAGTTGAACAAAAATGGAGAAAGTGGACAGCCTTGACGGGCACCACTCGAGGTTGCAAAAGCCGATGACAGTTCGCCACAAGCTCTGACTCGACTAGTAGTGTTCGAGCAAAGAGCCTTTACAAGGCTTATGTACATCTAAGAATCGCCTTTCAACGATAGACACTGTCACAGAATCTCGCGGTCTACAGAGTCAAATTCTGCTTTTAAGTGAAGAAAGATCACCATTGTCGGACGCCGATAAGTATGCCTATGTTCTAGAACCTGACGAATGGTGAATATGTGGTCGATGCAGCCACGACCACGTCTGAGGCCAGCTTGATTCTCGTGTTTGCAGTTCACGAGTCTAGGCAAGGCATCCGATAATTATCGAGGCTAGTATTTTAGATACTATATTAGTCAAACTAATCCCTCTATGGTTGTCACAGGATGATTTTAACCCTCTCTTACATATTGGGACGATAAGTGATTGTGACCAGTCAGATGGAATAACGCCTAACTCCCAGAACTTAGCTAAAATATTAGTAAACCTAATCGTTAAAATTGGACCACTATCCTTAAAGACTTCCGGAGCCAATCCATCTGGACCAGCTGCCCTTCCTCGTTTCAGATTAACTATAGCCTTTTGAACTTCTGCTAGAGTCGGGGAACCTACTTCAATGTTCCATTCACACTGTCTGGGAATGGAGGGTAGTTGTAGAGTAGCTGAAGGCCAGCTGAACTGTTCTCTGAAATGTTCTGCCCATCGTTCTAAACGCCTGGACTGGGAGCAGATGAGTGTATCGTCTTTTTCCGATATAATCTCACTTACACTTGACTTATTAATTCCAGTTTCTTTTATTAGTCTGTAAAGCTGTCTTGTGTTCCCTATAGTCGCCGCCTTTTCCATCTCTTTTGCTTTCGTTGCCCACCACTGCTCACGGTCGTTCCTTAGACTTTTGCTTAACCTAGATCTGATTTGTTGTCGCTCTTCATCGTGTTCAGAGCCTGATGGGATGAGTTTACGCGAATCCATCAATGAAATAGACCTAGAGGAAATGTATTGGTTCTTTGTAACCCTGTGGTTTAAATCACTGATAGATGTCACTGCTGTTTCCACAGCTGTTTGTATATCTTTCCAACCAACATTTGGGTCAGCCTCGTTTTCAGAACTACCTAAGTTTGACCTCAGTTGTTCCTGGAACCTACTTTTGGTTTTCTCGTTACTCAACTCAGTTCTAATGGGTCTTTTTAATGTGGCTTTTTCGCGTACAGTGAGGCGCAAGCAGATGCGTGCCCGTATTAGGACATGGTCGGAGTCCAAGCAGGTACTCCAGAATGAGCGACAATCTTCTATCGACCCTCTCCAACGATGACTGATGGCAATATGGTCCATTTGAGTCCATCGTTGGTTTGGTGTAGGGGGTCGCCATGTTAGACGATGTCTCTCCTTATGCTTAAAATTTGTGTTTGCTAAAAATAAACGATTGTCTGAGCACAGTTGAATCCATACATTTCTGATCATTGTCTAAGTATGAGTGCGTTTACTGATTCAAATTTATTAATATGAGTGGTACAAAATGTTACTTCCTATTCCCAGTTTGTAGAAGAAAACATGCAATGGAGCAGGTACACCCGTTTTTTCTTATCCCTTAAATCCTAGGTTTCTAAATTCTTTGTGATTTTTTCCAATTATTTCTTTTTTATTAACACTGATACTGTTACTACTTCTACTATTCTGAGATTTGGCCTAATAATTTCATCTCTCTGTGATAATGAAGTATTACAACTTGATGTACACATGAGCCAGGTTCTACGCTGTGTTAGACTAACTGACAGGAATATATATCATCAACTTAAAAACTACTAATGGGAAAGTTGATAAGTGTTAAGTTTAGGCTAGATCCGCAAAACATTTTATTTCTAATCAATACATGGAAAGGAACTACAAATAATACAGTTTGAATTTCTAAAAATTTAATAAAAGTAGTTAACCACTCGATGGGAATCGACTCTCAATAAGTAAAGCAGCAATACTATATAGTACAAATATTTATTTGAATACATAAATGCTAAAATATACGTTAATAATCACAAGCAAATATGATTAAGGTTAAGCCAAATCTGCCTCGACGTGCTATGTTCAGTAGAATAGGAGTAGGTTGGAAGAAAGCTAGGGGCAACCAGACCAAAACATGGCACAAGTCCATGAAGTCACTGACAAGTGAACTGAGTCATGTTGGTAGGTGTAGACTACCTGGTTGGAGACCGCGAGATGACAGCAACCGATGGTTAGAGATCCTGAATGACATGGCTCAAAATCGTTTGCAATGGCGCAGGTGCATACACTCTCTGTGTTCTCCCAAATTCTAATCTTCTGAATCCTTCATGTCCCTTTTTTCCTCTTTCCAAATTTATTTCACTGGATTATACTCTTTAAATAACATCTCCAAACCCTAATCTTCCCGATTACTGCTTATACTCTTGCTACCTCTACCACTACGGGATTTGAATCGACAACTGCCTCTCTGTGCTAAGGTGATGTGGCAACTCGAACTGATGTACGTACGTACAAAGTTCTACGTTGTTACTGACTGACTGATGATGTAAAGAGTAACGCAAGTAGTTGACTGATAGCGTTCAGACTACATGGTTCAAATGATGGGGTTCTATCTTATGACTTAATGAAAATTAAAACCAACACTATAGCGATACCTCATGAAACACAGTTTAGTGGGCTGAGAGAATGAAATTTACAGTAAATGTTTCACAGGATTCAAAACATTAAAATAATTAAATTACTCACTACGCTTTGAATCCATCAAACGTTCATCTACTCGACTGCCATAAAATCGACCGGGACCTGTAAAATGACTTATGTCGTGATACTCACTTTCTTTTTTGTTGTCCATATTATTGGATCTTCTAATATCACCAAACAGAACAGAATGAAAATAGTTTACATTTTAACTGCCTAACAACAAATTGATAAAAATAGTGTATGACTATGAATTAAACGTATTGTATTAACAAACTGCTAACTTAGGACAAACTGGGACTCAATACATCTTTTTTTGTATAAGGGGACCTGCCAGAGATGCTTTTTTTAAACATATAAATAGAAAAGTCTCTGTATAATCAAACACGATTAATTATAACTAGAATTGTTTAAATATATAACTTGACTTTTAAAGCTATCATATATAATTAGAAGCGAAAATATACAATAGCTTATCAGGTATATCAGTCATTCACAACCAAACACAAAATACAGTACCCGTGAACAAATTACGACACACGAAGCTGCACTATAACCATGTTTATTAGTAAAGCTGATTCGATATGTTTCATACAAAAGTTCTCCCGAGTTCTAATCTTCTGAATCCTTCATGTTCCTTTCTTTTTTTTCTCTTTCCAAATTTATTTCACTAGATCATACTCCTTGAATAACATCTTCAAACCCTAATCTTTCCGATTACTGCTTATACTTTTACTATCTCTACCACTACGGGATTTGGATCGACAATTGTATCTGTGTGTTAGTATGGTATGGCAACTCGAACTGATGTACGTACGTACGAAATTCCACGTTGTAACTGACTAACACAAACGTTCTGCAGCATTTCAAGATGGCAAAACACATTATTTTTACGTTACGTATACAATACAACCAATTGACACGTCTACTGTTATTTGCACAAGTAAAACTTTATTACTGAATACTGCATAAAATCATATATCAGGATAACGATGGGTAGAATAATAGTTACAACACACCGTGTATTTGAGGAGGAAATCGTGTCCAATAAACGTTTGTAAATCTGAACTTCATCCGCTTCAGTATTGTAAAACTTTAACTGTAAAAGAAAAAATGATTTAACGGGTCAAGATAACTGAAGTTTTTTCCAGTACAATTAGAGAAAAATGACAAAGAAATTGTGTACTACACTAACTTGACCTGCTTATCACGTGGTGGGAGACGATAAATACCATCTAAAATATTTACACGGCAATTTTAGGAGCACGATAAATATTCGCTTTTAAATAGAAAAGGAATTCACGTTCTTAAATAAATACCTAACATCCGGAAGTGAGAGTGAATAGATACTAGCCCGAAAAAGTTTTTTGATACACACATTATAGTTTGAAGATATTTGAGATTCAGCACCGTTACCATATATGTGTATTCTAATAGCTATAATGAGCAATAAACAAACCAGAATAGTTAGATACTGTATGCTGTATATACACTACAGTTTTAGTATAAATTAAAATTGGTTCTTTCTTTGAAGTTTTGGCAGCCAAAAATCGACTAAAAAAGATAAACAAGAGTGGTCGACGCTGAAAACCAGTTTCCGCGTTGTTGTTCAACTAATCAATGACACAAACCATTTCTGAAAGAGCTTCGCATTTGATTGTAAACAGTTTACATATTTTAATCCCCGTATACAAAATGTTGAGAAACCTGTCTTTATTTATGGAATCTGAATACTCTAAGACAATAAAGATTTCTGAACAGGATTCAACATCCAGGAAACCGTAACTATCACCTCTCGAACCATATTAATAACGGAGTCGGACACGAACTGAAAAAGAACACCTTCTGGATGTTCCTTTCAGTGAAAACCTATGATCCACTGATAATACCTTGGTTTTCGCATGGGGCGCCTTCAGTAACATTATGTATTCGCAGATTTATATTTTTAACATCGAACACCAACATGAGATTTTACGACAGACAAGGTCAAGAACTACTCTCCAGATAGCCAAATAATAAGTTTGTGTTTAGGGATCTATAGAAGTTTGATTTGTACTACATACCCATACATATATATGCTGATATCAGTTGACAGTTAGAAATAAAGAAAGCCCCATAAAATCTAGGTAGCAGTACTCATATTCAAGAATATATTTGTATTTAAACACAGTAGGCGAAAAGATGAAAAACCAATACGTGGTTTTCACATCATCTAAATCATTTCGGTGGAGTTTTGTTCTCTGAGCATCCAGCTCAGAGAACAAAACTCCACCGAAATCATCCACCTGAGCTACAAATCTTCTCCACCATCTCATCTAAATCAATTTAAAATTTAAAAACAACCTTGTTAAACTAGAACAGTTCTGATATATGTGATAAAATCCTAACACAAAAAGTAGTTTCGATTGATTTCAAAAAATGCAATTGAAGGTTGAGTAATTTCACCTAGTAAGCAAAGAATTAGTTGTACGAAGTAGTCAGAATCTCCACTATACTATATGGAACAATCAGCAAAGATGAGGCTACCATAATATATATATACTTTTATTCAAACTAACTTTTCGCAACAAACTGAATTATGACTGAAAAGATCGTTGACACTAAGTATTTTTAACATGTTTGTATTATATGTATGATTATCTTTATTTTAAGGTCATATAAATAGCACATATCAAAAAATGTTTGTTTATATGTTGTGTACGCTTTTTCATATGTTAAACAAAGCTCACTCTGAAAACCAGTTTTATTTACCCATTTTTGAATAAGATGACGCACCACTGAATTACAATTTGTCGCTTTGTAATAGTCATGTCAAATTCGTTCTTGTATTGTTAACATCTCACGAATTCTCAACACAGACACAAAGCAACAAAAGTTGACATGAGGTTATAATAAGTGAATTAGCTCTAATCAACAATGACTGTGAAATCGCTATAGACAATAACTGGTTGCGCGAACCCTCGGGTTATGCATCAGATGCTTGCAGATTTTACAATGTTTTTTTCTTATTCATTATATAACGAACCAGTGATGTAGAAAGAATAGGGAACAAACTTATTATTTTTTGAGTACATGACACGAAATTAAATATATACTACAATAGTATTAAAGCATCTTACTTACGATAACATAAAGCAATCTAAAAAACACTTACTCCAGGACGATCAAAAACAGGTTTGTAACCTTCATTGGGACGACGTGGGATTACAATGTGACTATGACGAAAATCAAATGTCACGGGTTTTTCATGTGTTGATAAGTCCATATCTATCAAGAATAAAATATTTTTTTAAAAATAGCTAACTATTATTGAAATAATAAATACTTGTGAAATAAAACCAAATTCGTTAAGGAGTCAGAAGAATACTAATAGTTTAGAAACATAAACTGCTAAGCAATTTCTGGCAATAAATAGTGATCTTGAGTGCTGTTACGGTTATGAAAGCAGTTATCACTTTCTGGTTGCCCACGCCGTGGAAGGGTTCTTCTAGAGGTACCCAAAAATGAAATCGGGTTAGGGTTGGTCTTAGTGACCTGATAGCGTGACCGCAGTGCCCGAGAGACAAGCGCTAGAGATCGGTCACACGACCATTTTGTGGGTAATTTTCGTGTTAGCTCCATACATGTTGAGAACTTACTTCCGGAGACGGATATATGTAAGATAAAGTGAGATGTGCATTTTTAGGGTCAACCTTTTCTAATCCCATCCTTCCTTTGTGGGAGTGCAGCATCGCTATTATGCTGGTTGTCTAAAGGAAACACCATACTGCTAGCACACCTCTGTACAGTTAACAGTACAACTTCGCCCTCGGACCTTGGTTTTGCCGCCTTTAGTCTTACCGCTCTTCAACCAACATGTCTAGCATGGTAGGACCTTGAGAAACGATTGTTTCAACCAATATAGCTCGATTGATTCATCAACCAACCGCCACGCCAAGGTAGCAGTAACGGTCGGGTGGCAATAACTAATACTGTTAATGATTCAATGTGTCATTGTGACTTCAAAGATTAGAAGTTTATGTTAATAATAATAATAATAATAATAATAATAATAATAATAATAATAATAATAATAATAATAATAATAATAATAATAATAATAATAATAATAAAGCATAGATTACATGTTCGTTGCATTAAATTAAATCAAACAAATAACGTGGTAGGAGCAGTAGTAATTCTGGTGAAAAATGACTTAGTCATCTAATTGCATAATCTGTAAATCCATGGATTGTGTATAAATATATTCTCCCTCTCTGTCTACAAATTCCAATCGTGCATAGCACGTCATGTTGTAGTGGAGAAGAACACAGGTGAGGACAGCCAAATTGTATTTAGGACAAATTACAGAATTACTTGGTAAATTAGAAAAACCATATAGTAAATCGTTAATTTGCAAAATATCATTCTATCATATCAAACCGGGCTGTTGCTGTTGCAAACATCAATCCATTGTCTCGCATTTCATTGCTCATGCGATTTCTTACAAATTCCATTGTTTTCTCGCTCTTCTTTTCTTGATCTTCTCCATCTTCTGCTGCCAGCCATTACGTTCTTTTGACTCACGTTATATACTACTTATATCAATATAAGTAGCACGCACCACACTCGTCCCCCCTTTTAACAAGTTGCTGTCGTAGTCTTTCTGATCTCCGTACCGCTGTGTTCTTTGGTGCTTTTCGTGGTTCACACCCATGATGATCTTGAAACCATCTCTGTAGTTGACTAGCATTTACGCGCTTCTGTTTGTCTTCTCTCCGGATCGTGTAGACCGAGCCGCGTCTCTCCGTGATTACATACGGTCCTTCCCATTTTGGGGCCAGCTTCCCCGACCCTGCTCCCCCTGCTATGTTACTTTTTCGTTCTCTACACTTTACTAGGTCCCCCACTGCAAAGGGTTTCCACGTTCTCCTCTGTTGTTCTGCCTTCTTTGTGTCTGATATTTGTTTCTTTTCCACGTTCCTTATTGCCTCTCTCCTCTCTTTTCTTAACCTTGTTGTCGTCCACTTCTGTTGTTGTGGCCAGGTCTTATTATGCATTGGAAGTCGTGGTTGTCTGCCATACATGAGCAAGAAAGGTGACTTCTTGGTTGTTCCTTGTGTTGAGGAACGATGTGCCAGCAAAATCAATGGTAACTCTTTCTCCCAATTTCCTCCTTTTGATGCTAACCATTCCTTTAACGTCCGATTGTTTCTCTCTGTAAGCCCGTTTGTCTGAGGATGATACGGTGTAGTTCGTATTCTCTTGATGCCAAACTGCTTTAAACGGGCTTTAAACTCGTCACTTTCAAAACAGGGACCCTGGTCAGTTAATATCATCTTCGGTATTCCGTGACACGCTACAATATGCCGGATTACCACCTCGGTCACTGTCCTTGCCCGCTGGTCTGCAATGGGTACGGCATCTACCCAACGTGTGGCATGTTCCGTCATCACTAACAGATACTGGTTACCGCTCGCCGTCTGTGGAAACGGTCCCATCACATCAACCGACCATAGATCACCGACTGCGGTTACTGGGATTGACTGTAATGGCGGTTGTGTGTATCGATCGCTTTTCATTAGCTGACACTGCTGGCAGGTTAACACGTATTCAGCCACATCGTCTCTCATGTTCGGCCAGTATGCACTTTGTCGTAGTAAGTCCGTCGTTCTTGCGATGCCTGTATGTGCTACCTGGTGACACTCGTGTATCACTTTACGCCGCCAGTCTTTCGGGATCACCGCCACCCAATTTTCATCATCGTCCTGCCAGGTCAGCACTCCATATGAGTTCACTCTCAGTCGATCCTTTTGCCGAAGCAGCGTTATTACCTCCTTGTCCATTGTTCGTTTATCTACGTCTGCTCCCTCTTTTATCACTCTGATTACCTCTCGAAGGTTAGGGTCAGCTTTCTGCTGCCGGACGAGTTCTAATGGGTCTCCCTCTAAACTATTCACCGCGTATGCTGTTAATGGCAGGTCGGCTTCCATGTCTGGTCTTGACAAGTAATCTGCCATTACGTTTTCTTTTCCTGGAACATGGCCGATACTGAAATCGTATTCTTGCAGGCGTATCATCCATCGCGCCAACTTCCCTCGGGGGTCTCTTGCTGTTTTCAACCACTGCAGGGGTTTATGGTCCGTCTCAATGTGAAATCGTCTACCTAAAAGGTATGGTCTCCATTTTTCCACTGCCCACACGATCGCTAAACACTCCTTTTCGATGGTTGAATACTTCTGTTCAGCAGGTGTGAGGACGCGACTCGCGTATTCCACCACTCTATCAGCCTGACTCAACACAGCACCTATACCATGATCACTCGCGTCTGTGGCCACTGTAAACAGTCTTCCCGGTTCGGGCAGTCTAAGCGTCATCTGGCGATCGTCTAGCATGTTTTTGATTCGGTTGAACGTTTGTTCGGCAGTCTCAGTCCACGTAAACTTGGTGCTGCTCAATAACTTATATAAGGGTGCTGCTATTTCGTTGAAATTTTTGACAAAGCGACTGTAGAACGCCGCTCTTCCCAGGAACTGTCTCAACTTCCTTTTCGAATTAGGTACTGCAATATTTTTTATGGTAAGAATTTTCTCCGGCAATGGTTTTATTTCTCCATTTCCCACTTTATGTCCCAACAATGTGACGCTACTTTTCGCTATCTGCGACTTGTCCTTATTAATCCGAAGTCCAAATTCGTCAATTCGCTTTAAGACCGCTTCCACATGTTTGATGTGATCTGTTTCTGTTTGACTGTACACAACTACGTCGTCGCCATATACCTCGACATTATCTAGATTCTTGAGCAGTAGTGTCATTAATCTTCTGAACGTGAACGGTGCACCCGCCAACCCGAACGGCATTCGTTTAAATTGATACTGTTTATCCCGTACAGTAAACGCTGTCTTGCTCCGATCACTCTCTTTTATAGGCAGTTACCAATATCCTGACCGTAAATCCAGCACTGTAAACACCGTGGCATTCTGTAGCCGATCTAATGTTTCCACCACTGTTGGCATTGCACAAGGCTTCAGGTCTGTTATATTATTCAATTCTCTGAAGTCGACACAAAATCTATACTTTCCATTTGGTTTCTTTACCAAGAGTACCGGCGAGCTATATGGGCTGTCCGCTTCCTCAATTATACCTTCTTTTAACATTTCCTGGACCTGACGATTTACCTCGGCCTCTAAATGCACCGGGACACGACGTCTTGCAAATATATTTACTCGACTGTTCTTTATCGGTATTTCGTGCTTTACTCTGTCACAAAATCCATACGGCTCCCCATCTCCAGTGAATAGTTTCGCATACTTTTTGCATAACTCGTGAATGTTTGGTTTCTTTGACGAGACATCCGCTGCAACTCTTATTTCAGCCACTTCGCTACTTTCGTGTATTGTCAATGAACCATATTTCGTGACCACCTTACCGCTTCTTAAGTCAACTATCGCTTTTACTTCTCTTAGGAAATCTGCTCCTAATATCGGTCTCGATAAGCTTGTGGTTACGACGAACGGAAAATTTATCTCCGCATCCCCCACTTTTACGATACTGTTAGATACACCAAACACCTCTAACATATGGCCCCCTATCGTGTGGACAGCTAATGTACACGGCTTGATTCTCTTACATTGCTCTTTGCCTATTAACGATACTGCTGCACCTGTATCGATCAGACAAACTAAATCTCGCTCATTTATGTTCACTCGCGTATATACTGCCCCTCTGTCTACTAACGCAACAATCCCCAGATTCTTAGGATAGAAAGAACACTCGTTGTAACGTCTAACATATCTGCGTCTTCGTCTTGTTGGACAGTTTATCTTCCAATGTCCTGTCCCTCCACAAGCGTAACATTTATCGTTCCTTTTATTGTTCACTCGTATTGCTGCAATCTCGCGCTCCAGCTCCTCAATCTTCTTCTCGACATTACTCATCTGCTTTCTGCACCCGACCGGAGCTACTGTTCGCGTCATCAGCTGACGAGTCACCTTCGCCAGTTCACTGATGTCCATCGGTTGCGCTGCGTTCACCAGTTTCAGCTGTTGGGAGACGGTGGCAGGCACACTCTCGATAAACTGTGACGCCAACAACTGTGCCTCCGACTCCTCATCCAGACTCGGCAGCGCACGGCGTAACAATCTGGTAAGCTCCACAGCCAGCACCAGTGGGTCCCCATCGACCGGCAACCTCGCCAACCGGAACTTCTGCAGCGCGTCCTCTCTGTCCACTGGGCTGTCAAACTCCGCCGCCAACCGCTCCGTAACTGTCTCCCATGTGGTCTTTCCGCCAGCACCGTCCAGGCTGTCATACACCGCCTTCGCCCTGCCTCTCAGCAGCGTCCCCAGCACCACCAACTTCGCCTTCGGCTCCTTCACTCCCACCAGCTCCGCCACGGCCTCAAACTCCTTCAGGAAGCTCAGCACATCTCCGTCCTCAAACTCCTTCGGCCATGGGATCTTCATCCTCAGTGGAGGCAGCGACACCAAATGTAGTGAAGAAGAACACAGGTGAGGACAGCCAAATTGTATTTAGGACAAATTACAGAATTACTTGGTAAATTAGAAAAACCATATAGTAAATCGTTAATTTGCAAAATATCATTCTATCATATCAAACCGGGCTGTTGCTGTTGCAAACATCAATCCATTGTCTCGCATTTCATTGCTCATGCGATTTCTTACAAATTCCATTGTTTTCTCGCTCTTCTTTTCTTGATCTTCTCCATCTTCTGCTGCCAGCCATTACGTTCTTTTGACTCACGTTATATACTACTTATATCAATATAAGTAGCACGCACCACAATGTTACTAGAAATCGATTAAGTTATCAACCGACAGACTCTTAAAACAATGAAACATTTTCATCAATCAGAGATTTGTGCATTGGGAATAACATAATTTGTGTTGCTAAGGGACGACGTAGTGATGTGGAGATCTGTTAATAAAATATTACGGATTATTTGTAGTCTGCAAGACTTTTTCCGCCTATAGACATTACCAAATAGTATTGAAAAAGAAATTGGAAGTAAAATCAGTTTTCCTGCATCACTGAATAGATAGAAGAGATTGAAATCAACTAGTTTTCTTTTAGAATACTAATAAATGAATGCGATTCTTCCCCTCGAAATGCAAAATGTTGCTTCAGGACTGGGTTACATTGACACCCGAACTAATGATAGGGAGTGAAATAATTGAGCGTGTCGATCGCTTCACTTATCTTGAAAGTCTCATCAGCCCTTGTGGTCTGGTGTGTGACGAAATCTCAGCACGGATACAGAAGGCTCGACTAACTTTTGCCAACTTGCGTCATTTATGGCATAGGCGAGATATCTGTCTATCAACCGAAGGACGTGTTTACTGCGCAGCAGTTCGTTCCGTCCTAATTTATGGCAGTGAAACATGGCCGGTAAGAGTAGAGGATATTCGTAGGTTACTAGTATTTGATCACAGGTGTCTTCGAAACATTGCTCGTATACCCTGGGACCATCGAGTAAGTAATGCAGTTGTTAGGAAACGGGTACTAGGTAAGGATGGCAAATCAATTGATGAAGTAGTGAAACTTCATTAGTTGAGATGGCTGTGACACGTGTTACGTATGCCCAACGACCGAGTGCCTCGACGTGCGATGTTCAGTAGAATAGGAGTAGGTTGGAAGAAAGCTAGGGGCAACCAGACCAAAACATGGCACAAGTCCATGAAGTCACTGACAAGTGAACTGAGTCATGTTGGTAGGTGTAGACTACCTGGTTGGGGACCGCGAGATGATAGCAACCGATGGTTAGAGACCCTGAATGACATGGCTCAAAATCGTTTGCAATGGCGCAGGTGCATACACTCTCTGTGTTCTCCCAAATTTTGATCTCCTTATTACTCCTTGTCTCTTTTTTTTCTCCTCTCGAATTTATTTCACTGTATTATACTCCTTAAGTAACATCTCCAAACCCTAATCTTCCCGATTACTGCTTATACTCTTATTACCTCTACCACTACGGGATTTGAATCGACAACTGCATCGCTGTGCTAATGTGGTGCGGCAACTCGAACCGATGTACGTACGTACAAAGTTCTTCGTTGTTGCTGACTGAAATGGAACAAGTCAGTCAGTCAAACACAGAGTAGAACCTGGCTCATGTGTACTCCGGTTCAAGCTGTCATACTTCATTAGCACGAAGATGCGCTCATGTGTTAACCACAAAGAATGGATGCACCTGAGTCGTTCCAAACAATTTTGAGTCATGTCATTCAAAGTCTCTAACCACTGGTTACGATAATCACGTGGACCCTAATCAGGTAGTCTACACTTATTCACATTACCAAGTACAATCGTCAGTGATTTCATGGACTAGTGCCATGTTTTAGTTTGACCGTACCTAGCTTTCTTCCAACCTGCGCCTCCACCAGAAAACATCACCCGTCGAGGTAGGCGGTGGTGGGATATACGTAACACTTCTCAACCACCTCAGTTAATGAGGATGTGCTACTTCTTCAGTCGATCTGTCATCCTTAACTAGCGCCCTTTTCCTAACCCCGGCATCGCTTAATCCGTGGATCCGAAATACATTAGTAATCTTTTGTAGACACCTATCATCGAATGCCAGTAACCTACGTATACCATCTACTCTTAATGATCATGTTTCACATCCATAAAGTAGAACGGAGTGAACTGCTGCGCATTAAATCCGTCTTTTGTTTGGACAACTGATGCCTCGCCTAAGTCACAAGTTAGCAAAAGTCAACTGAGACTTCTAAATCCGTGCCGAGATTTCGTCAAACACCAGACCATCAAGACTGAGACTTCCAATAGAAGTGAAGCGGTCAATGCGTCCAAATACTTCACTCTCTAATAATACTACCTGACCGATCAAACCTCGGTAACACATGAGTTACGGATTATATGTCTGGACAAGTGTTTTACAGATTCATCATCGAATTTTAAGTAGGGAAATCTTCACAATAAAAGATTATACTCTTTATTTTGAAGTAAAGTTAATGTATTAGATGGAGAAAATTATTAACAGGATTTTGTTACATTTCCATTTTCTCAAAATTATGAATCGATCGGATGAAAACTCTATTACGAAAAAATCCGTCAAAAACAATTTCTAGTCATATAGTTGATATCAGGAGACAAAAACTTACTAAGAGGAAATGTTCGCTCTATGACAATTGAAATTTCTTTAGCCTGACGCATAAGAGTTGCTGGGGGGAGCTTTGTATTATTGGTAAGTATAAGATGTGGAAGACGATGGTTATCTCCAAAACGACCATACCTGCGTTTATTGTATACAGCCGTCCCTGAATTTGTCAGACGAGTGAAACGTTCTGTTAAAGATATAGGAGAATGTGAATCACGTGTAGTGCTTCGTACACCTTCAGTCTGAAAGTCCGCGATTGGATTAACACTTGATTGTATTTCAGGTTTTCTAAGCCTTGAAAACTTCGACTCTAAAGAAAATAATGAGATAGACCTAGTAAATGTTAAATTCTTACTTCGCTCAGCAGGACTTAAAGAACGTCGAGGACTGTAGTCAAGATTTTTTGAATGTGACCTCTGTCGATTTCTGAAAGATATGAAAACGGTGGATAAAATAATGAGTAACTTTGGGATTTAAAAATGCTGGATCTACATACATTAAACTACTTTATTTGACTTAACTATCCCTTTTTTCAATGATGACTCCATTTTCATAATTTTCTGGAAATAAGTATGGAAAATTTATTTTCCGATGTAAATTGGGGTCTGCATTAATCAACAAGCGGCGATACTAATAGGTTGTTCAGATTTAAATAAAGGTTGATTTTGGGCTTAAATCCATGCGAAAGGTAAACAAATGTTTATATTATGTTTATATAAATAAGAACGAATTCGCCAGAAAAAATCAGGAAACAGCATATGGCTTATCTACAGTGAATATCAGTAGTTAACGAAAATAAATTGGCTGATACACTACAAAAATGACAATTGTTTTTCTAGATAAAAAGCTTTAAAATGAAGTGAGATCACAGAGACTGAACGAGAAGAGGGAGAGAAACAGTTATGAGTAGAACGATAAATTAGCACATGAAAACAGTGACAAATGAATATAATAGAGGATCCGTCTGAACTAACGGACACTATTCAGCGCATTATACATCTCACACTACTTATAAATACTACGTACTGTCCCTAAATGGAGAAAACCATGCAAACAAAAAAATATTTCAAACCAATAAGTAGATTAAATACACTATTGATGCAAAAAGTCAGGTTATTTAGCGACCATATACCTTTCTTTCAACGAAGAACTGAACTTAGAGCGTTCATTGGATCTAAAACGAAATAACGATGTTTTGTAATAGTTGGGCATTATTAATAAAATGTTACTTTTAATAAAATTAGTTTTCATAAAAATCAAATTTTGGTAACGTTATTCTTATTAGTATTTGACCACAGTTGGTTTTGAAGCAGTGCTCGCGCATGCTAGGACTATGGATGAACTGAGGTTAGGTAAAAATGTCAAGTCGGTTGATAAGGTTTTGAACCTTCATTAAGTGAGGTGGGTGAGACATGTGTTACATATTCCTAGAGATCGCCTGCATCGATGGGCACTGTTGGTTGGCATAGGATTAAGTTAGAAAGTTAGGGATGACCAAGTCAAAATTCGGCATCAGTTTATGAAGTCATTGACTATTGAACTGAGTCATGTGGGCGGGTACGGACTGCATACTTGGTAAGGGACCGCATGAGTTTTTTAACGATGATTAGAGACTTTGGGTCACATGGCCCGGAGTCATCCACTCGTTATTTTGCTCTGGATCTTATGTTATTCCTTCAAACATATCTTTTATTTCTTGTTGAACCATATTCCCAGGATCTAATCATTTTAATCAGTGCAACTAAATTATCTTAACTCCTTTACTGTCCGTTATGTTAGTTTTATCTCCTTGTGATATCGTGTTGCGATAACTTGGGTCAACATACATTTGGGCCAGGTCGTACGTTGATTATGACTGACTGAAAATAACTTTTATGCATGCAACTATCGCAAACTAACCATTTTTGGTGACAATGTATATTGTTAATAAAAATAAGACAGTATATATATATATATATATATATATATATATATATATATATATCAGTAATGAAACGTGGTTCACCAGCCAAAACATTATGTGGAGCCACGACGAAAAATTAATTGAGAAATGCTTCTTTGCCATATTTGTAATTTTTCAAAGAGTATGACAGGAACGTTTGGGCAAGGGATTTCGAGGTACAAATTAGAGTTTACAGATCATTTTGGACAGCATGTAATAATAAAATTCAAATTTATTACCTCGATCGTTTAATTTCTATACTAAACGTAAAAGAGTTGGTCATTGTTTTACTGTGAATAAGTTCTCATTACACTAAAAAGATAAAGCGTGACCCAGAAGCGCTTACATGATAGAAAATTTATTAAGTACACCCAGTTCCTAATGTTATTTATCTATTAACAACAATACAGAGAGTTGAGTCAATTTTATTCCAAACATCTGGAGTTTTACTTGATTCTCGGCCTTAACCATCGCGCTAGAAATCTATCAGAGCGGAAACGGATTTCCACAAAATATACAATGGAATCATGATTATTTTACGTGCGATCGACTTTAGAACACTTCGTTAAGATAGAAGGTGCGTGGTTGAAAAAGTAATTATTAAAGCTATTTGTAAAAGTAGTTCAAACGCATTCCATTAGACAATTCTACTTATTCTTATTAAACGAAGCGTAATTACAGATAGATAAATGTGAGCATAATGCACACCGGATAGAAATAATCAAGAAACTCAAGTAAATCTTACTGACTTACTAACAAAACTCTGGGTAGAAGCTTGTCATAAGCAGTTACAACCCACGATTTAATTAAAAGGACTCAGCAGGAGAAAAATTAAATAAGAAAATTCTCAACATTTCATTAGCGAAAAATATTACTGACCTGGATCGGTTTTTTCGTCTTGGTGTATAGAATCCTGATGACCTGGAACGGGAACGTGATGAGTATGAGCGCTTCCTGTTAATCATTGTTTAAACCTAAGCATCTTCCAGGAAAAAAAGATCTGATCAATTTAGAAAATTAAACAGTGAGCATAACCTGTTATTTAATGATTATGAATTTAATGCTTGTGCTTTGATTATAATTGAAAATCTACACCATTATTCACATTAATGAGATGTATAGGGCTTGTAAGTTGGATCAAAACACAAATTATTGTTTCATATACCGAGCTTAATGCAAGTGAACATACTGGACAGACTTTTGCACCGAAAATGCCACTAGATCCTAATGCTTGAAATTAATTGGTACATGGTGCATACAAATCTAGAGGGGAACTGAACAGAAATCACAAAATGATTTGGAAGACCTTACCAATAAACGGAACTGTAAAGTTCGAGATACAACACAATAAAGATCTTCGGCGCTTAAATAATAGCTACAACTGAATAACGCACCTCAAAACGCCCTGATACAGCTGAGTGTGCGGAGAGCTCGCTCTGTTTCAAAATGCTCTCACATCGCCTCAAGTATAGTACCACTGAAGTCCTACTCACTGCATTCTCGCGGCGTTATTGTTTACGGAAATAAAAGAACAAAAAGCGATTGTCTGGCGCTTTAACTGGCATGGTGGATAGGGAGGATCTACCTAGGGGATTTGGAAAGCTGATTCCATACCAGTGGGGCACATGGACTGCAAGATCCTGGAGGAACAAATGGGGTACGAACCTACTGTTATTCACCGGTTACAATGAGGCTACATCTCCTAACGCTGTTCCACTGCCTTGTGGATTAGACTCAATGCATGGCCCTTTAAGAAAACTACCAGCTTCAGTTTGGTTACTCGGGTAGTATTCCAGCCCATAAACAAATGAAATGATTAATATTGTAATAATTATTCTTGCTTCAACGCTCATTAGGACAAATCGTATTCACAATCATTTGATAACACCCATTTTTCTTTCTTCTATACAACGTCACTTATCTTCCCCCTTTTATTTGTTTTATTTACAACTTATATAGAGGCTCGCCTATGGTGGAAGCCCTGTCCTATTTAAACGATTCCAAGTCACTGACTGATGGAAAAATGAATGCTACCGTCGAATACTGAAACAGTCCATCTAAAACCACGTATACCATTCAAACTGGGCTCCTTCAACGTTCGCACACTAATGCAGATCGGACAACAGGTAGGGCTGGTAATGTCTTTAAGAAGTCTCAACATCGGTGTCTGTTGTCTATCCGAGAACCGTATTCAAGACTATAGTGAACTGCAGGAAATTCGCTTCCCGTTTGTCGCTCCAAAGGGCTTGTTTTACGTGCGTTTATCCGGGGACCCTGTGGCACCTTTGTTTAGTCTTGCTAGAGTTAAGGCAACACTGATCGACTGAACCGCATTAACAGTCGGTTATTTACTGTTAGATTAGAAAGCTCCATTAAAGTGAGGGGAAATTGGCGTGAGAAACGACGTCATTTTGCAATCTCCGCCTACGCTCCAAAAGATTGAGGTCCAGATGCGATCAAAGATGAGTCTTACCACCAGTTAACTGTTCTGTTAGAGAACGTACGTTCGACAGATATTGTAGTACCAGTCGGAGACTTGAATGCTTAGATCGGGTGTCAAGGCACAGAAGAGAGTCATCTAGGTAGCTGATAACGACTTGTTGGTCGCAGGTCAGATAACAGTGACTATCTACTGCAACTTTGCGCAGACTACAACCTGTTTCTGAGTAGCAGTAACTACCAGCAAAGTCATCGCCGATGTGCCACCTGGCGTCCTCCCTCTGCATCTCAAGCCCGGACTCAGTTTGGTCACATCAAGACCAGCTAACGTACACGTGGTTGTCTACAAAACTGTCGTTTCTATGAATACCTATCTGGACTCTGATCGTCCCCTTATTTGCGCTAATCTTACCTTAAGTTTCAGTGGCCAACAAATCTATCATCCTAAACGGATCGATACCAGTAAATTGGTTGCAGCTTCTCTTGCGACTAAATATCAAAACGAGCTAGGTTCAACGCTAGCTCCCAGCCCACCGAACAGCATAAACGAGCATTGGCTGTTGTTGCATGACGTGATGAAAATGGCAAGTGAAGTCGCCTGCAGCTTTGCGAAATGTCCAGCTTATAAGCACTAGGTTTCTATAGGTTCCTTACAACTCACCATCCCTCTACAAATTTGTCATCGATCACAATCTCGAAACAGCTCTGATGACTGTAGATAATGTAGGTGTGGATCTGTTTCCTGGAGAAACCTTTCGACCTTGAATATGAGGATGATATTGTCTTACTGTGTTATAATACCCAAGCCGTGCAATCCACACTTAGTCAGCAGGCAATCAGTGTCCGTAGGTATAGTATGTGCTTTGAGCCTTACAAGTGCAAAGTAGTTCTACAGGATTGGCGAAACCCTGAACCTGCACTCACATTGAATAGTGGGCAGGTAGTAGTCAAGAGGTTTGAGTATTTGGGTAGCTGCATAAGTGCTGGTGGTGGCGTGAGTGATGAGATCGATTCACGTATAGTGAGAGCCAGAGCGGCTCATGCCAATCTGGGTCACCTTTGATACCTTCGTGGTGTTAGTCTGGCTGTAAAAGGTCGGATCTACAACGCGTCAGTGAGAGCAGTTCTGCTCTATGCTTGTGAAACCTGGCCTCCCTGAGTTGAGAATGTTAGACGATTCTCTGTGTTTGACCATCGTTGTCTCTGAGGGATTGCTGACATCCAGTGGCAACACCATGTCAGTAATGCACAGACCGAAATAGATGGGGTTGGAATCGAACTTTGGACACCTTAACCACTAGGCAACTGCTCTACCATGAAACAAAGTATTATTCAAATGAAGTTTAGGACACATCAGATTGAAAAACGAAATGATGGGACAAATGCGCCACAAAAATTAGAAGAGACCTCAATCCGGGTATGCTATTTATAGAAAACTATAGACTGAGACATGAATGCTTGCCTACAATCAATTCCTTTGGCTCAAAGACAGTAACCACACAATCTTGAAATCATCGATAAAAAGTAGTACAAAATGTCCATAAATTAGGCAGTCAGCAAAATCTAGTCGGAAGCGAAAATTTGAAACCCCTTTCAGTAGTACCGGACTTCCTAGCTAGTTAACCCGGTTTTAAAATGTATTAGTAATACTTAAGAAAACATAAATCATCAGACCAATAGCTAGCAAATATCAAACAAAAACACCATACATCGTGGTAATGAGGTATTACAAACAAAAGCGAACAACGTATTAAACGTATATATTTGCCAAAACATTATTTGAGGCATATAATGATACCAAATAATAATTTCAAGAAAACTAAGATGACTTCGTGCGTAGGAAAAATGATATGTATTAACTGAATTGAACAAAATGGAAAGAATGCAGTATCACGCAGTCAGAAACGATAATCGGGTTAACAATCTGACTCCAGTCAGCCGAAAATAAATGACTGCTATTAGTAAGCGCTAAGAAGTGGACGGGAGCACTTTTGATTGAGGTTTGATGTAGAACAGATATCACAGTGGGTTTCACGACGACTCCTCAGAGTAGAGTTCGATCCACGACAGCTTAACAGTACTGGTGTAGATGGGATTAAACTCCCCAAAAAGGAGGATGATGGTCGACTGTATGAGAAGCAGAGTGGACGAGAACGACCAGCAGCAACAGATGCGCTGCGAACATATACTGACGTTGGATAAGACGGATATTTTTGGACATATTCCGAAACCCACGAGTATTTTGGCTTCCAGTCAATATTGTTATTTGAGCGAGAATATGAAGCACCCAACCCAGATGGTTGCGGCATACTGCTAACTCTAGTTGATTTGTGGAGTGTAGGAACGGGTTTTTCAGTTTTACTTAGTTCAATTGCCTCACTTTTCACAATACACTGTTTTGGCCCACATATTTTGGAAGATACTTTGGAGTTTACAGTATTCGCATGCGTAAAATTAATCAGCCTTTCTTTACGGCGAGCCTCAGCACGTATAGCAGAAGGATAAACCTGGCACAAGAGTAAATAAAATTAGTACTTATAGGTATTTAACATCGGCTATTGTACTTCCTGCTTTTGCTGTCTTGAAGTGTTACAACTATCTAAACTTATACATATTTCATCAAGATTCTACACTACCTAAATCATTTACTGCAAAATAATTAGCCGGCATGCAAACTGATGAACATAGTGAAAGAATTATAATGACCACATTTTGCACATAAATGACGAGGTGGCAGTCCTTGTAAGACTAATTTGCTAACTACTTCCGTGACATTTTAGTATTCACATAAAGTTTTCCCACCTACGTATACACGGCTGGAAGGCAATACTCAAGATTTATAATCCAACTACTTATTTAAAAAGTTAATCCAGAATGAGAAATGGAAACTCCGACAACCGAAATCCGGCACTACAGACGAAGCGCACAATATGTATGACGTTGGTATGACGAACAGCTGAATTTGTGGGTATGAAATTACTTTTCATTTTAGCTCATTGAAGTGTGGAATTTGTATAGTTTTTGAATTTGACATTAAGCCAAAAATATCTGCGTAAGTTCACACAAATAAAAAGAAACATCAACTTTTGAATGCATATGATTTTACGGACCTAATTGTTTATGATCTAGTAATAGGGTTGTGATAAGATAAACTTGGCAGTAACGACAGCACATTCATAGCCTTTAGGTAGGAATAATGAACCCAGGGATCAAAATGTCCACTTACATCTCGGTCTGACTTGACGTTAAAAGTTTTTCTAGCCCCCAAAGTAGGACCAGGAGAACTTCCGATAGCATAAGGTACAAAAGCTTTGGGCTGTACTATAGCCCTTAGATAAGGTTTTTGAGTTTGTGTACCGACATCTGTTCTTTCAGTAATTGAAATGGCGTTATTCTTTTCATTTACATGTGTGAAATCATGAGGGCCTATATAGATGTTATGTCAGCAAACTCGCATCCAAACCTTCAACTCCTGCTAAGTTATCTAGGTGGCTATCATTACAAGCAATGAAGCAATTCAAGGAATTACCCGTCCTCTGAAACG